CGAATCTCAGGCTGGCGTGTAATTAAAACTATTTTACGTAACGGGATAGCGAATCTCAGACTGGGGTGTAATTTAATACATTAACACTCATTATCAAGTGTTGCACTGTAAAGATATCACATAACGTCAATGCAATCCAAGGCCAGACTGAAACTGCTCTCATTTGTGTGATTGTGAATCTTATGCTGAAAGTTTGAATCTAAGGCTGAAGGTAAAAATTGATAAAATTTCTTTTCGAACGGATTTTTTGTTGAAAATATAAAATATAACAACTATATCCACTTATGTCTATACAATTTATGTGTTTTGATGTTCATTATAACGATATTATAGCGTTGAAACGCTTTTAAAAGAAAATTGCTTCACCCCCCCGGAAACRAATCTCATTCTCAGGCAATGTGAATCTAAGGCTGCGAATCCCAGGCTAACTTCATTTTGGTCATGGGAGGTTGTTTTTTTTTTTTTTAATTGTTTGACCGTTATGATGTACACTCTTGCAACAGAATATTAGTCAATTGATCATTAAAAGAGCACTTCTTGAAGACGATTTAATACTCCAATTTCGAGATCTTATTTGTGCAGTCTTAACCTCGAAAGCATGTAATATCAGCAGAGAATCTATTGTAATGCAAACACTCTGTGTACAAAGAAGACAAGAAAGATTTTTGCTTGGTTGAAGCTACGCTTGCACAAAAGAGAATGCGAAACTGAAGTATTAAGCATATCTAACACAAACAATTTTTACAAAAATAGGGGCGTTCGTATTTTCAAGATTGATGTTTATACGTTGCATAGATGTATTTAGTAATCATTATTATGATAGTTATTTTAGCGTTTTAGTGATGCAAATCTATCGATTTTGTTCTTAACATTACCTTATTCATGGCCGTAGTGTCAGTGCGATAAATACACACGATGCCATAGAAATCAAGAGAATCATGTTAGCCAAACTCATGGAATACAACATAATTCTTCTCACATTTCAAATCATGGCAGCCAAGCTCCTGGCAATACAGGCATGCCGAACCAAGTCGCGACTCCATCACATCCTGGTCTTTGTGAAGACCAAAAGGACACTGACGAATCAATGGAATGTACTATTTCAATTGAACCAGTCCAGTTACAAGAGTCACTTCATCGCTCTGTTCAAGGTAAGAATTCAGCGGCATAGATCACAATATAAGCTAATAAAACCTAAAATGTAGACAATCATGGTAGATTGATCTGACAGACTCGACTAAAGTATAACATTAGGCGGGGAAAATGAAATTCAAGGGACTAGCTAAATCAGTGAGCTTGGATAGAATGATAATTGTTTAACTGACACAATTGCTGTAAAATAACTAGTGTTATCATGAGATCTTATAGATAACGTTCATGTTCAAACGCTGGTTTTATAGTTCACTTGGGCCAAGGAAATAGTTACTGTTCTTGTTTTTATAATATACTATCTTGTTGATAATTTTTAACATGCTAGAGTCATCACACTTGCACCGTGAAAGATGTCATGATTGTAAGTACAGAAGTACTACTATATCACTGCCGCCTTTTCATTGAGTTTCAGTATTCAGAATTTGAAAAGCCATAGTGCTATCGCTCCCAATCCACCCTAAGGTCTAAATTTTATCGTTTAATTTCCTCAAGAGTTATACCGCTGATTTCTCCAAATGAAGAGTTTTTCATTAACAATTGCCAATATCTTACACACCTACTGGACGAAGGCGTCAAATTTTCTCGATTTATGAAGGACAACTTCAAAATTGATTTTGTAAACTATAACGGTTTCAAATGTATCTATATCTTTCAGCGAGTACCCAAATGCTGTACGATGTATATAACTATACTACTGTTATGTTGGAAGAGTTAGAAAAACACGAAGGCCGTCCGGGAATAGAAGTGCCCCCAAACTCGGAAATATTCCCTCATCTGGTTCCACTCAATCACAAAAAGCCTAAGCCTGAGGTTAGACCTATTCATTATTAGTTGCGCAAGGGCATTGTTTTCACTTTTGAGATGTGATAAAAAGAAGAGACACACTCTAGCGCTGTTACAGGCAATAACCGAGGCAACAAAAAATGTAAAAAGACTAGGTTCTAGGTGATTAAACAAGTGATTGTAGCTTTTTGGTAACTAGTCATAAGTTCAAGATTTAAACGTAAGGTAGTCTAATTTTTTCTTATAAAATCGTTGGAACAACCGTAATTTCAATTAATACAACAAGGGAAATGCTGGTAATTATTGCACAGTCCCTAAGCAATGAGAAATCCAACGTCAGGAAATAGTGAAACGTTTTATTTTGAATCGAAGCATTTGTAGATTGCATAAGGGAACCAGGCTTTACTCTGGTAAACGTCTTAGAAAAACGACTGAAACTAATTCAAGCTTAGTTTTATGAGGGTGAATTTTTAGGTGATCGCTGGAATCGAGGCAGAGCTGCAGTGCTTGTCTATCCAAATGCGGTACTTACCAAAGGACGTTATCAACGATTCGACCAGGAAACAGATGGTTGAACAGACTCTAAAATGGCTTGGATTCAGGCAAGAAATGAAAGTACCTCGCAGTAAAGTGGAATGGTATTGCAAGAATATCCTTGAAATTGTGCTGTTTGGTGCTGCTAGAGAAATGCCACCAAGAAAACATCCATCTCCAACTGAGTACGTCTTTTAATATACTTGAATTAGTGTCTGAATAGAGCAAATGTACTAAATCCGTGAAACAAATACTACTAATTACTACTAAATATTGTTGATTAACAATAGAAAACAAAGTGATTAGCATAATTTAATATTATTTTGTACTATTTAAGCTTCATGGTTTAAGTGTGTTCACTCTACCACCAATGCACATGAACCATGAAATAAAATGAAAATTGCTAGTTACAGGCATTTTTTCACTATTCAACTAAATGACAGTCGTTATCAATTAACCATAGCCGATTATATTACACGATTGAGATTTGTATGATTCGACTTTAGTCAATATAATAACACGGACTCATTAACCGGCGAGCAGAGGAGTTTGACTGCAAGCGGTCAGAACTACAAGGGTAACTGCAGACTATCACTGCTAGCAAATTATCTTTATTTGATTTAATGGTTCAAGGTTATTTGGTTTTAATCTAAGTATAATTTGATGATGATCCTGCATGAAAGACGTTTGTTGCTTTAGTTATTGAGAACCTGAAAGATTTTAAAAATCATCATTCTTCCTTTATCAGCAATTAGTAATCGTTTTTTTTTTTTGCAATCTATCCATCCATTCAGGCATTCCGTGTTTTGCATGTCAGTCGTGTATTTATCTATCTTGCACCGTAATAATGTCGGTTAATCATATAACAATGGGTTTTTCTGAGATTAATTTCTGCATTTAACCAAGGGATCGATTTTTCTGCACGCTTTTCTTGTTGTTGTTGATCATCGTTCAAAACGACATTTAACTCAATAAGAAATTGCTAAAAACTAAGTTTTCTTTTAGAATAAACAGTGAGCAAGTGAATGAAGCCATGTTTCAGATGGCAAGAGGAAGGTATTTTGGTGAGCAGCAGGACAAGCCGTTTCACGAAGATCCTAACAAGAACGCTGAGTTGAAGCCAAAGAGAGGTGAAAAAATGAAGGTGTCCTTGCGCGAAGGTTAGTATAATTCATTTTGCTTTTGATTGAGTCTTATTCCTTGATGAAATACCGATTGTTTTTTCCTTGAATGGTACTTTTTACTTCTCTAAGTTTCTCTCAATAAAAAAGAACCCTTTAGTTTAACTTTAA